CTAATATCAGAATTTGGGCTCTTTCTCCTATACTATCTTTGCAATATAACATAGTGGTTAAGAGGATTGGTATCCCAGCTCTGCCACTTACTAGTGTAATCTCAAGCAAGTTAAAATTATATTCTTCATGCCTCAGTTTCCTCACCTGTAAAATAGAAGTACTGACCTCTGAATTACTGGGAATTGTTTTTCTTTTTTTAGTTAGTTAATTTGTATAAAGTCCTTAGAACAGTGCCTGGCACACAGTAAGTACACAATAAATTTTAGTTATCTTCATCATTGCTGGGAACACTAACTGTATTCAGCTCATCTTTGTCCAAGAGTTTAGACCCTTTAACAACCACCCCCATATTCCCCAAGATTCCTGAACCTCTTAAGGAATTGGTAGGCTTGGATAGTAAAAAAATCATGGGCAAGTTACTGGGTTCCTCATTTGATTAAAGATTCTACAGAAGAATCCTGATCAAAAGGGGGAAAATGCAGAGCAGAATTCTAAATTCTCATGGACTCTAAACTTTCTGGAGCCATGTGGACTGGATGAAGTCCTAAAACTACTGCCCTGAGATAATCTTTAAATCTTAAACCAAAAATATTCCCTGAAGTCTTCTTAAAACCAAACAATAGTTTAACTGAGTTAGTAAAAAAAAAAAGGTCTGCCTGAGTATTATGCTCTTTTAAAAGTTATTTATATGAGATCAAAGTGACAACAGTAACTCAAAAGATTCGACAGGAATCTTAGGGGGCAGTGACTTTATGTTAATGAAGGAGGGAATAACCCAGAAAAGGTAAGAATGGCTGTACAACTAGAAGAATGTAATCAATGTTACTGAGTTGTACATGTAGAAATGGTTGAATTGGTGTATGTTTTGCTGTGCATATTCTCAACAATAAAATAATAATAATGAGTTCCTGTTATTGCCCTCCTCCCCATCTCATTAGAAACTCAAAGCATATGAGAATATGGAAACATTAACAGGCCAAGCAGAGCTAACTTCCAACTACATGCCCTCCTTTCCTCCATATCATGTGACAGATGCTGCCAGATGTCATGCTAGCAGGCTTAAAACCCATTAGTCACTATAATCTAAATGGAATGTAATTAACTCCATAATTTTGAGCTATGCAATTTTGAAGTCCAATCTCTTAAATGTGACTCATATGGCTCTCTGTGATCTGGCCCCTGCTGACCTCTCCACCACCCCCGCTTTTCTCCTGACCCATTTTTATGCTCCAGACATTCAAAACTATTTAGTTTCCAGAATAAGGCATATTCTCTCACACCTCCAAGCATGCTGTTTTCACTGCCTAGAAATCCCTTCTGTCTGCAGTCTTACTGGCTAAATTCTACTCACTCTTTTGGTTTTCAGTTCATCACTCTTGTTCTGTAAAACCTTCTGACTATTCTGTGCGTAGGGTGGAGAATTTAGTTTCTACTGTCCATTGTTGGGTTCCTCCCTTTTTGGACTTCTGGTACAAAGTCAGAATTGACTCGATGGCAGTGAGTTTGGTTTGGTTTTGGTACAAAGTTGAGTTAATGATATCTCATAGTTCATATTATATTTTATATGTAAGACCCTTCTTTGTCCCTTTGTTTCAACCCAATTCCCATTCTCATCACCTTCCCTAATGTTGAGCATGTACTATAAAGGGACATATATGTATGGAGCTCTGGTGGCATAGTGCCTAAGGCACTTGACTGCTAACCAGAAGGCTGATGGTTCAAACCCACCAGCCACTCCTCAGAAGGAAGACTGGACAATCTACTTCCATAGTGATACCACCTCAGAAACCCAAGGAGAGGTCACTGTGAGTCAGATCCCACTCGACAGCAATGAGGTTTTTTTTTTCTTTAGTATATCCTTAAAAATGCTTATCTTTGTAAATGTCATTGTTTTTTAATTTACACAAATGCATGGTGTTATAAATTCCTCTCTTACTTACTTAGTAAGTCAACATTTCCTTTGTGAGTCCATGTTACTTCCTGTAAACCTAGTTCTTGCTTTGAACTGCTCACACAGTATTCCATAGTCTATATATTCATCACATTTAACCTATACTTTCCCCCAGTAATGGGCATCTACATCACCACCGACTTTCCTACTACCACAAATTATGCTGAGATGAACAATCCTGAATGGATTGCGACCCTGTGGCAAGATTCTCTCTGGAATATATACCCAGGACTGGGTTGGTTGCTAAATCACAAGCCATATTTAGACTTATTTTCACCAAATACTGCTAGGTCCCCCACACACACACACTTTTATTGTGGTAAAAACATACACAAAAAAGACATTCACCAACATAACAACTTTCACATTTCCAGCTGAGGGATATTGATGACATTTTTCATGTTGTGCCACCATTATTAGCTACCCTTTCCCAGAATATTCCACCATGCTAGGTAGTTTTTTAAAATGGCTGTACCAATATATGAAAGTTCCTGGCTATCTATGCAATACCACTTCTCAGTATTCACCTCTTAGACTTTTGCCAAGGAGCTCTGGTAGTGTAGTGCCTAGGGCACTTGACTGCTAACCAGAATGCTGGTGGTTCAAACCCACCAGCCACTCCTTGGAAGAAAGGTTGGGCAATCTACTTCTGTAGTGATACCGCCTCGGAAAACCAAGAAGGGGTCATTATGAGTCAGGTCCAACTCGACAGCACATAACAACAACAACAACATACTTTTGCCAATCTGGTAAGTACAAAGTTGTATCTCATTGTTTCAATTTCCATTTCTTATTCTTCAGCTTCCATTTCTTATTCTTATGAGATCAAACATATCTTTATATTGTTGTTAACTATTTGAGCTTCTCTTTCCATGAACTGCCAATTTATATCCTCTGCCAATTTTTCTACTAGGCGTCTCCCCCCACCCTTTATTGATCAGTAGTTCCTTGAGAATTTCCTCATATTTTCTATCTACCTCAATTACAGCATCAATCATACTGTTCTGAAATTGTCTCAACTAGTCCATAAGCTTCCTGAGGACAGGGATAGTCTCTGATTCAATTCTTCACCCTCGAGCCTGGCTTAGGGGCAGAACAATAAATCTTAACTGCATGGGTGAAGAACTAGATGAACTGCTGCCTAAGGCACAGGGTCGAAAGAATGACCTCCTTCAAAGCAGAGAATATGTCATGTTCATTTCTGTCTTACTTCTACCTTCCCCAGTCCCTCCAATACCTAGCACAGGACAACGTGGCACAAGGTAGTTACTAAAGAAAAGTTTATTGAATAAATGAACTAACTAAAGTTGGGAAGAAAGGAGAAACTATTGTTTTCTTCTTGTTATTCTTCCAACCTAGAATTTCTTTCCCCCTTACCTGCATCATTCACCAGGATAATGACCATAATAACAGCTAATATTCTTTGTTCTTAGTATGTGCTAATATTATGCTAAATACTTTATAAGAATTATTTCATCAAATCCTTACAACACTGCCATGTGGAAGGTACCATTATCCCATTTTACAGATAAAGAAACTGGGGCTTAGAGATGTCAACTCATTGCCCAAGATCACAGAGTTAGTAAATTGTGGAGGTGGGATTTTAACCCAAGTAAATCACATCTATGCTTGGCACTCTTAACTACTATACTATGCCATACTCTCTCCTGGATCTCCCTGCCATTTAAGGCCTACTTCCATTAAACTCTCACAGTTCTAAGGACTGGTCCCTGACTTATGATGGCATCTGACTTTCCAGGGATGTCAGGCTAGAGGTTACAAGGCATCCTAGTCTCCTCTTCTATTCACACTTCCACCTACCGCTTCTTGGCAATTTCATTCTGCCTCTTCACCTTCTCTTCCTCAAACTCCCGGATGTTGCGCACACCAATCTCCCGACAAAACTCTTCAAATACTTCATCTTCTACCTGAAAGGAGAAGTCGGGAGGGGGCACAGGCCCTTTTGGTCAGAATCCTAATTCCAGGCCCAGCCCTACCCCGATGTACATGCTGGCATGGTTCATTCCCCTACCAACCTGGTTCATCTTCTCCTTCAAGTCTTTCATTTCTCTCTCTCGGCTCTGGATGATCCTTTTGATATCATTGATGCGAGGCCCAAAGTTGGCTAGTTCACTCTCCAGCTTGGACTTTTCCTGTAGAAAATGGAGTTGAGAGGGAAAAAAGGGACCAGGCTCCTTGGAGGAAAAGATCTACCCTGACTGTACTGGCCCCATGGTCAGGAAGGAGTAGCTCTCTACACACTGAGAGAATCTGAACTTAGCACCAATGCCCTAGTCAAATCGCCCATCATCTCTCACTTGCATGATCACATAACTTCTTCCCTGGACTCCAGTTTTGCCAGACCCAGTTCACAGAGAGAACACACACTAAACACCATTAGTTATAGGTCCATAATCCCTTGTCTATAATCCTTGGGGATAGGTATATTTTGGAAGTTAGACTTTTTCAGATTTAGTGAAAGGTAAAATAATACAGTATATGTAGTATACACAGATTATGTAACAGTTCCAAAGGAGGTCTAGGGAAGTACCTCATAATCAAATACATTATTTCTGCAAGTAAATATCACTATTCACTATAAATAGCCTTGTATCTATTAAGATTAGGTTTTTACTACCAATTTACATACACACCTGTACACACACACATCACAAAAACCACTTTTGTAGCGAGTGATCAACACCGTGGCATTGAAGAAGAGGAAGACACAGAGAGGTATACAAGAAGTACAGACAACAAAGATAAACCCTTTTACGTATACAGTACTGCGTTATCAGTGATAACAAACATTAATCTATGGGAAAATAGATGGACAGACAGTTGAATGACAAGGCATGTCTAGGCAAAAGGGAATATACTCATGACCATATATAAGGCTGGCAGACGAAACTTCTACATACGTATTCGTATGTGCTGTAAGAATGTCCAAATATATAGATACACTCCTTGGAGAGAACAAGCAAGAGAGAAAGAAGGGCTGCTCAGGCACCAGGAGACACCTCAGAGGGTAGGAGTGTATGGAGGGGTGGACACAGGGAAGCGATACCTATTGGGAGGAAGTGGGAGAGGAGATGTTGCATTGTGCTAAATTG